CAGCAGAAATAAGATGTTTGAACAGTCCTGTCTTCTCCAATCATTCTTATCCAATGCATACATTTCAAATTCTGTAACTCAATTTATAGAGTTATGTGCTAACAAAACACATAGCTTTGTATAATTCATACCTATATAAATGTCTATCTACACATATGGATGCCTTCATACATGTATATCCTCATGTACAAAGCTAAAACAGCAAAGGACAAACAATTGAATAAATACATGGGTATGCAAAACGAACAGATGGCTGTCCAAAGAAGTACAAATGGCCAAGAAAAATAGGAGAAACGTTCAGCAACTTTAGCCATTATGGAAATGTAAATCAAAGCTTAGGAAGCTAATCAAAGCAGATTATCATCAAGAAAAAAATAGATGCTGGTAAGGGCTCAGTAAAATGAAACCCTCATTTACTGTTGGGAATGCGCAATCCTCCAGTTTCTTTGAAAATAAATATGAATGTTCCTTTGACACTGACATGTAGAACAGCTGCATGACCCAGCTCTAATGCTCTTGGTTCTACACCTGAAACAATCAAAATAAACACACAACAGAGATCCGTGTACAACCGTGTTGATCACTGCACGCTTCAAAATAGCCGCACTGTGGAATTAATTGACCTCTACAGCTGTCAGAGGACAAATGGATGAAGACAATGTGTGTAGAGTCACAGTAGAGAATTATTCAGCCGTATGAGAAGCAAATCATGTTATATCCAATGAGATCATCATGCTAAATGAAAGAAGCCTGGCTTAGAAACACAATTATTACAGATTTTCTCACATATGTAGAATCCATATTATATTTAAAAGTAGAAGAGAAATATTTGGGAAGAAGAATGAGACCACAGGACCAGGGGGCCGAACAAAAGGGGTAAAGACAGATGAATATGGCCAAAGAACTGTGTCAATATGTTTGTTGCATTATACACATGTGTGAGAAGGTCATAAGGAAACCCTATATTCTGTACAATTAACATTTACTAGCAAAAAAGAAGCAAGTAAAAATAGTGTTGCATGTAAGAAATATGGTTTATAATGCATATAACAATTAATGAGCATAACTTTTATATAAGTATAATTATGAATAGCTTATAAAATTCTGCTATAATCAAGACTTGCACAAAATATTGATGATAAATATCAGTAAATATTAAAGGTAATTGACAATAGTAACCTCATTATTTGTTTAATGAGGATACTATTGTCAATTATATTTCAGTAAATGAAGGTTTCATTTTCCTGAGTCCTTACCAGCGTCTATTTTTTTCTTGATGATATTTTGAGTTGGTTTATAACTTAAATTTTCGTTACTTTTTTGAGTTTTGTACATTTCTATCATGGTATTTATTAGGTTCCATACCATTACCCTCTTGTATGTCCCCTCCTTCCTTCCACTGTTTACATTCTTCTTCATAGGAATGAAAAATCTCTCCTACCTTGAGTGTGTGTGTTTGTGCGTGTGTGTGTGTGTGTGCATGTGTGCAAGTGTGTGCGTGTCTGTGTGTGTGTCTGTGTGTCGTGTGTGTGTGTGTGTGTATGTGTGTGCGTGTGTGTCTGTGTGTGTCTGTGTGTGTGTGCAAGTGTGTGTGTCTGTGTGTGTCTGTGTGTGTGTGTGTGTCTGTGTGTGCAAGTGTGTGCGTGTGCATGTGCGTGTGTGTGCATGTGTGCATGTGTGTGTGTCTGTGTGTGTGCAAGTGTGTGCGTGTGTGTGCATGTGTGCAAGTGTGTGCGTGTGTGTCTGTGTGTGTCTGTGTGTGTGTGTCTGTGTGTCTGTGTGTGTGCAAGTGTGTGTGCATGTGTGTGTGTCTGTGTGTGTGCGTGTGTGTCTGTGTGTCTGTGTGTGTGTGTGCATTTGTGTGTGTGTGTGTGTGCGTGTGTGTGCATGTGTGTGTACATGTGTGTGTGTGTGTGTGTGTGTGTGTGTGTGTGTATCCCATTGAGTTTGGTCAGCATCGACTGCATGAGTATGTTAAAAGCTTATTTACTGGAGAGTGGGCTATTTTTCAGTTGCTACACTAGTGAAGGAAATATTCAGCCTAAATCTCATGTGAGTACTCATGATTATCAGCTTGTGTAATGCAAAAGGCGTTCTCACATTTCAACGTAGCTAGTCACTATCCTTTGATCAGTAAATGTGGGATTTAGCCTCAGCTTTTTTCCTTTCAGAGCTATGGGTACTCAAATAATGGAAGGAGAACTTACTACTCTGAACATCCATTTCCAGACTATGATTTCTGTTCCCTTAATTTTCTTTCTCACCTGTTATCTCTTTGTTGCAGATTTAAATCTACATTGGTGATTTTCCTTTATCATCAATATTTTGTATGCCAGTCACTGGATGAGCCTATAAACATCATCTCAGTACAATTCCTAGTACCTGCTGTGTGTGCTGATTCTTAGACACCCTTAGTTTTTTCCTTACAATTCCTCTGAGAAGTCAGGCTGTATATGAACATAAACCCTACCTACTTTTCATAGGATGCTAGACTCTGGGTACGCCTGTCATTCAGTGAATGTGTTGTCTCAATCTAACATTTTTTGAGCTAAAATCTGCCGTATGTATTACCATTATCTTCTGGTCATATCAACCTTGTATAAATTTAATTTTTTGAGACAATCAATGTAGAGTAGCCTAGGCTACTTAAGAACTCCAGATACCCTGGCCTCGGCCACTCAGGCACAGGTGTAGAAAGCAAGAGCCAAGGATTTCTAAATTGGATTTCTTGAATATCAGTGTTCTGATCACTTTTGTCTAAATTCTAGTGAAAATGCATAATAGAAGTCCTGCCTACCGTCTCGCTCTGCCTGCTCCTGCTCCTGCTTTCTGTGGTGCATGGTTCTTTTGTAGTTACAATGGCTACATCTGGAAAACAAGGATGAATCTTCCCTTTCTTATTTCACCCAATAGAAAAATGTTGTGATTTCAAATCATGACTAAATCAGTTTCTATAGAATTGCATTCATATCCCAAAGGCATGCTGTCCTATCATGTTGCCGTGGAGAAACCTAATGATAAAAGGAAAGAAATGCTGGGAAGTTGACCTAAATTACCATATATAATTAGATGATTCAATACATAATAGTGTACATGGTCACAAGCTAAAGCGTTACTCACCTATTACATTTCTTTAACTAAACTTCTAGAAGTTTCAAATCATGAATTGGTAATATTTTTTCATCATCCATCCGTTTAATACAAATTGTATTCAGAGAGGAAAACAAAAAGTACTTCTCCTAAAACATCTCCCAAATTATCTTGACTCTGGTAATAATACCTCAATTCTTTCTCAATCATTCTGTGTTTTGTAAGACATTTCTGCCAGGACACAGTCGAATTTGAAAGTCATATAAGGAATCTAAACATTTTGAAAACATGGAATTCAAGTTTGGATTCATAGCTGCCTAGGAACCATTTTCATATCCATTTCCACCAAAACAGAAGTCTGTGAATGCATTCTACTAGATTTCTATTATTATCCCACATAATGACTCCCTTAAAGCTTCCCTCAATGACATTTTTAAAGACCATTCTTGGTTTCTTCAATGAGAACTTGTCTTTGCAACAACTTTGTGGAAACACAGGAAGTCCAAGACTGTAAAGGTCATTTGAACAACACTGATCAGTAACCTTCGATGTGGTTTTCTTTCACTGACCTTCCCTGATGAGCCTCTGTCTTTGTCTTTCTATGTCATTTCCAGGTACCGTCTCACCCCCCAAGACCAGATTCCATGGCCAGGCTTCCCAATCACATTTGTTTTAGCAACAGAGACCTCCTCAGTCTAACACATTTTTATCAAGCTCATCACTGATTATCCTATGATACCATTTGTGCATCATCATGAAAATTCTGGCCAAACTTTGCCAAGAATTCACCATGTCTCACAAAGAGCACGTTCAGTGTACTTTTGGAATAAAACTGGATCAAAAGAATATAGTGCACCGTAATGATAAACAACCCCAAATTCACCTTATGTGCTATTTAGTATTTCTACTAATCTTTTGGTTAATTGCTAAACATACTTAAAAAAAATTTAAAACCTGCTCCTGGGGCGAGAAAGACTCTGTTGTTAAGGGTGCCTCTTGTGCTCCAAGAGGGCCTACGTTCAGTTCCCAGTGCCCACATGGTGACTTATAAACACCTGCAACTCCAGTCCCAAGGACCCCAATGCCCTCTTTGTGCCTCTGTGGGCTTCTGTTCACAGGTGCACATTCAGACAAGCAGACATAAACACAAACATGGATTCAATTTTTTTAATTAAAAAGGATATTCCTGTACTAAGCACTCCATCTTCCTTTTTTTCTTTTCTTTTTTCTTTTTTTAAATTAAATGCATACATGTTCACGCATGTGCATCAGGGCTAGCAGAGGCCAGAAGAGAATGTTGGCTCCCTTGGAGCTGGAGTTCTAGGTGGTTGTGAGGTGTCTGAAGTGAACACCAGGGCATAAACTCTGGGACTCTGACAGCAGCATGTGTTCTTAACTGCTTGGAAACCTGTCCAACATCACCTTTATTTTCAATATATACTCTGCTTTTTTTTTTCTATTTTCTTGATGAGACCAGGGAGGCCTTAGAATCCTCATGTCACTGAATTCTCACTATATGCGAAGTCTGTGACAGCTCTTAGAACTAGAGGGATAAGTAGCTGTATTCAAGTACTTAATGGTACATTATAAAGCAATGCATTGAGTTCATCCATAGAATTTTTAAACTCTTTAAAGCCCTCTATAAAGCTAAATTTATTACTTATATTTGTTTTTCAATAAGAGTGGCAGGTTACAAAAAACTCAACTAAATAGGGGTTTATGTATGAGCTAACTCAGGGAAAATGGTCACATATAAGATCCTTCCATTGTATCTGAGCCTCCAATCTTTTCCATGTACTCTCTTCATTCTCTGGTGTCCTGGATCTTACATTATTCCAGCTTTGTCCTGGTGTTTCCATTCCCTAATTTTATGTTATAAAATCACCCTTAAAGAGATGCAGTTTCCCAGCATTCGTTGAAAACCACCCCTGGCCTTGGTTGTGGCCTGGGTTAAGATTTGGCACCCAGAGCCACCAGGGACCTCAGCTCACCTCAAGCTGCCATGTTGTGGGAGGGTGAAACCCAGGCTCCATCAAGCAAAAACATAAGAAAAAAAGAAAGAAAGAAAGAAAGAAAGAAAGAAGAGAGAAAGAGAGAGAAATAAAGAAAGAAAGAGAGAGAGAGAAAGAAATAGAAAAAATAAAAAAGAGATAGTTATTTATTCGATGGACAAATATTTATGGAGCACTTTGCTGTCTTGGTCCCAGGTTCTGTGTAGTGTAGTTTTCTTATATAAGACAAAGTCTCTAAATTTAACCAGAATTTTTTAGTAAACAGGGGAGATTAAAGAGGAAAAAGTCACCAGCATGATTATGAGAGAGGAAGCAGAGAACGGAGAACAGAAGTGGAAAACAGAATTTTGACACGTGGAAAAGAGGATCCAAGCTCCTTCTCTGGTTCAGGGATGATGTTCCTAAGGACGAGATCAGACACTGAGATCTAAAGACTCGAAAATCTGAGCAAAGTCCTGTCACGACATGAATGTCTTCAGGATTACCTTTTATGTAAGAGAGAGAATCGGACTTGGCCACTTTGAAGATAATTATAACTGCACGTTAGATAACTGATTGAGAAGAAGAAGAATGGAAACTGAGAGACAGGTCAAAACATTCTTGGTGCTAATCAGCAAAGACATTGTGATATAAACAACAGGACTATCGGGATTCCCAGCACAGGTACAATATCACAGCTTTCATCTGTTTCGTTAGTCTTTCATAGTAAAATATTTTCTTCCATTTCATGATAAAACATATTTAGAAACTAGTTTGAACTTGTTATACACTTTTCCTGCATCATCTACCTTCAGATAAAATATGAATCTTGGATTTTGCTAAAATAAACCTGACTACAACACAGGTGAGAGTCACAAGGACGCTGTGCCAGACACAAAAGGGCATCTCAGTCTATATTACTTTTGTTCTGCTAGTTACTTTCCCTTACTTCAAATTCAAATATTCAACGTGACATGAAGAATAGATTTTCCCACTGAGTAATTTTCAAGACTAACCATAATCCTCTGAAATATCAAATTTAATGATTTCTCTCTCAGGATCAGTTCCTTTCAGACTCCTCCTTAGAAGACATTCTCCTCTTCATCTATCAAACGTGGAAAGATTTGATTTAATGCAAGATTCTGATCATGAGGAATCTTTCCCTATTTCTAATATTAGCTATTCTCCTGGCTATAAATGTCATTTGCATACATCTTATAATTTATTACAGATATGTAATGTTTTACTTTTTAAGATGGGGCTCTTGGAGATCAGGCTCACCTACATTTTCTACGTTGTTGAGAAATGGTTCTGAATTTCTGTCAGAATCATGAGAATCCTGTCTCTACATCCAGATGGTAATATTACAGGTTTCTGCCACCACATTCAGTTCAAACACAGAACTCCTTGCTTGCTAGGCAAGCACTGTACCTAGCTATACCATCAGATCGCAGCAAAATTTCCAAACAATTTTACTTATTAATTTTACTTTACGTGTATGAGTGTTTTGCCTGAATGTATCTGTATAGTGTAGCTGTATAGTGCAATGCCTGTGAAGCCAGAGGAGGGTGCCAGGTCCCCTGGAACTGGAGTTAAAAATGGTCACAAGCTGTCATGTTGGTGTTGGGGCTTGAACATGGGTCTTCTGCAAGAGCAACCAGAGACTGCTAAGCCATGTCTCTAGCCCCTCCGCAAAACCTCCTATTCTGCTTGTTTTACTTCAAAAATATTTCTTCAACTCATCTTCTCTCTATTGTTTTTACCTACCAAAGTACAAAACACATTATTACATTTTATCTGAAATATTATGTCTTGTAAATAATATCCCTGTTATTATTTCCTTCTAAAGCTATCATTCCACATAGTATCCAATATTTAAGACATAATCCTATTAATTGGATTAATGCTTAATCCAATTACTTCATGCTTAAAAGAGCAGTTCAAGTTATCTGTCAAAATCTCCAAGGTCTCATGTCCAAAGTATGTCCTGTCTTCAGCAATTGGGTCTTACCTTCACGTTCTGGGAGACAATCAAGGGCTATGGAAATAGCTTGTGTAATTTGGGGAGTCTCTTGGACCACCCTGGCCAACAACTCAAAGGGAGGTTTCTGCTGTCTGGCACTGTTTCTTGTTATATAGTCATCAGCTATACACACGGACTCATGTAGAGATATTGCATGTATAAATTTTCAGGATTTAGAGCAATGGAGCTGGAACTGACCTGGAAGCCAACTCACTAAAGTTTAGCTTTCATAGTTTTGGAGGACACTATTCAAGCTGCTAAGGGAGAACATCAATTGATGGTCCAATTTCAGCATTAAGGCCTAAGAACCACAACAGTGACCAGCACAGCGAACTACACTTAGACAGTAGTGGCACTTTTATCTTGGGGGTAATCAACAGGTACCTGATTGGACTTTAAAGCCCACTCAATGGAGGAATCTCATGTGTGGTATTGTAAACATAGCGAAACACACATGAGTGGACAGGTCATAGAACTTAGAGAAAGCTCCAAGGCTGTCACATCCCCAGACTAATGTAATTTCTTACTATGTGCAAAATATGGATCCTTATATTTACAGACATGTATCCTGGTCACTACTCATGGAAAAAGATTCTTTGGCAATAGACTGAGACTATTGCCACAACTTGTCACACAGAGAGAATAAGTGTCTATGAGATGTCCAACCCTAAGTGAAACATCTACAATGAAACCTCTAAACCTAAGGCTCACAAAACATAGTGGAACAAGGGGTAGAGAGAATACCAATGCATCTCTCAAGTCTCATCAATGAAGCTTCCTCAGGCCACAAAACGCAATGAACACAAAAGACCACAAATGGCCAAAGCATAGAGAGTAAGTTTGCTTAGTGTGGGTCTTTGGATAGGACTCCTCTATTAAACTCCACTCACTCAGGTCTCAGGGACCATTTCAGAAGAGAGTGCAGAAAGATTGTAAGAGCCAGGGGAGGTAGCATGACCACATGGAAACAGTTTCTTACAGGCTCCTGGGACATTGGTCCTATGAACTTACAGCAATGGTGTCAGCAAAGCAAAAGGCCCACGCAAACACAATCCCACAAAAACCCAGCATAGAACTGGGGAAATGGGCAGCAGGCCCCAATTTTAGCTAAAGAACTATTGGCAGCTGATTACTACTGGATGAGGGAGAGTTGATATTCTTTAAGGGAGTGACTCTAGATAGGTTGATTAGATGCCAGTGGATGAACTTGCACTGAGGGATATCTGGGTACACTAACTTGACTTGATAGGCCTTAACATAAATGACAGAATGCATGAAATTTGGTGCAGAGGACTATGGGAGGGTAAAGATGGGGAAGGGTGTATAAAGACGATTAAGATGTTACAATACACAAAATTTCTATTAAAAAGCTCTAAGGTCTTACAGGAACAAGCCCATCCCTATTTCTCTGATCCAGTTCTCATCCTTGTATCTCAGTATTCTAAACCTTTGTACCCTGTCCTTCAAACACATCTTACAAGTTCACTATAGGAGCTCACACCGGATGTTTCCTCTTTCCGCAGTCTTTTTCCATTGATCCTAGTCTTGACTCACTTCATTCTTAGGTAAGTTTTTAAGATCTCCACCTAAATTACTCTCCCAATAACCTCAGGTAAACAAGAACATCTAGTCTAGTATTACTCTGTACTATTCTAGGAAGAAAAACTTATCAAATGAAATTATATTTTTATTTGTTTAACTTTTTTTTTTCTTTTTTGATGTATCAAGTGTAGTGTCCTGTACATGCTAGGTAAATATTTCCACCAATGAGCATCATTCATTCTCCTGACTAATTAATATTCTCTCTGTCATGTATTATTAACCTGCTCTTCAATGACAGGATTTATTGGCAAGTCTCTGCTTGCTGTTCTATGGCTGTAATCTAAAATAATATTACCTGAATCACAGCAGGAACTTTTAATGAAAGAGTCAATATCGTCTTTTAATACTTAGCCATTTTCTTCAGCAGAAAAAAAAAAAACAGCTTCAAAGCAACTTCCTTGAGAATCGGAGTGAGTGTGATATTTGCAGCAATATCTGGCATACAGTACATCCTCACTGAAGTCTGAAAGTAACAATATTATTACAGAGAATCAGAGAAAAGTTCCAACGGGAAGAAATGTTTGCGTTGCTTCTAAAAGATGATTAGGATTTCATCAAAATGAGAGAGGAACTGGAAAAAGGCGTTTCAGGAGTTAGAAATCGGGTGCAAATGGCTGCCAAACATGAAAAAACATGGCTTTGGTTGCAGGGTAAGGTGTTTGGGTCACTCTTGAATCATAACAAATGCCTCACATTTCTCTGAAGTGTATTCCCGTTTGATGCCCAGTGAATATTTTTATGCTTCCACAATTCCTATGTTGAATCTTTACACCCATAATGACTTAATCACCAGGTGACTTCTTGGAATGCAATTAGATACATGAGTGTGGAGCCTTCATGGATGGTATCATTGTATTCAAAAGAACTCCATCTCACTTTCACTTATTCAAGGCTATCTGACCTTGGACTTTTAACATGCAGAGCTGTGAGAATTAAATTCCTGTAGCTGATAAGTCAGCCAACCTATGATACTTTTTATAACAACCCAGCCTGACTAAAACACCACAGTTAATTCCACCGCTTAAGTGTATGACATTACTATTGTCTGCTGTAGCTGACTAATGCCAGCTTTAAACTATTTTCAACTTTCAGTTTTTCTACTCCAATTTACGAAATGTGATACTTTCAGAATAATAACCCTAGTACAATTCTGATCGGGCACTTCCCCATTCACAGCTGAAAACTGCTTTTCTTTACTGCTGAATGTAAACATTCCAACTCCTTTAATCTTCAATCCATTAAACACTCTACAAGCTCTTGCCAAGCTAGGCTCAGGTTCCCTCCCTACTCTTCCCTTCCCTCCTCTACACTGTGGCCAAACCTGAGTACTTGCTGGTTCCCTGCATTTTTAGGCCTCTCCTAACTCGCTGTGCATTTGCTTGTGTGATGCCACTGCTACCATCTCTGCAATCTGTGCAGATT